TGAGCTCACCTGGGCATGGAGGTGGCCGAGGGCAATCCTCTCCATGGTCTTCATCAGGTGGGAGGTCAGGGCAATGGGTCTGTAATGGTTCGGCTCCTTAGGATGAGGTATTTTGGGAGCTGGGGCAACAGAGGATGTCTTCCATAGGGCTGGGACTCTCTCCAGGCTAAGACTCATGCACATTGTTATTCTCCATGGAGGGCAGGCTTGCACCAGTGACCTTTTCTGCAGTTCTGACTTGCTGCTGGAGTCTATTCCTGTGCTATTTGGTTGCTGAGCCAAACCAGAAGGTGATGGAAGTGCAGAGAACAGACTCGATGATTCCCCTATAGAATTGAATCAGCAGCTCCTGAGGCATGTTGAACTTCCTGAGCCGATGTAGGAAATACATCCTCCTCTCATTATCAGTGAGCCTTGGGCATCCATGACCCTGTCACTGGTTCAATGTTTGTCCTTCCTTAGACCACTGTTGGTAGGTACTAGCCACTGCAGACCAGAAAAACCTAACAGGACCTGCATTCTGGGAGATGTTCTGACCCAGTCATCAGTCATCACAGTTTGGCCCTTGTCAGAGTCACTGAGATCCTTACACTGCCAACTTCGAGGACTGAAGGTTCACTTGTTGCCTAATATACTCCATACACTGACATGTGCCATTGTAAAGAGATATTCACAGTCACTGACTTCACCTGTCAGTGGTCATAATATTATGGCTGATCGGTGTACTTCCTTCACACACACAGTATGAAACACACTCAGGCACCAAATCAGGACACATGACATCAGAACCTAAAACCTCTAATTTTATGTTTGTATAATGATCAGCAGTAATGTTTTATTATATTTGTTTTTCCTTGTGTTGGCAACAATAACAGGACATCTGTCTTTTGAAGTAAAAAATGCAAAGATACAGCTGCACTACGATCAGGCATACTGAGGATTTAGTTAGATATTCATGTGATGACAATCATACTGTATCTAATGTCTAATTGACAGGAAATACTTCTATTAAAGACCTCAGTGGATTTGGTTACATTAACAATTTGTTTTTGAAAGATTTTGTTACGTGTGAGTGTGGACCCCAGTTGCAGACACAGACCAGGAGGAGTAGGAGCCAAAGAAAGTTGTTTAATGGACAAAAACAGGAGGACGAAGAACCATGAGGGGGACCAGGAGGACGAAGAACCACGAGGGACGACGAGGAGACCAGGAGGACGAAGAACCACGAGGGACGACGAGGAGACCAGGAGGACGAAGAACCACGAGGGACGAGCAGGAGACCAGGAGGACGAAGAACCACGAGGCACGAGCAGGAGACCAGGAGGACGAAGAACCACGAGGGACGAGCAGGAGACCAAGGAGGGACCAGGAACCAGAGGATGAGCAGGAGAGTGGGCAGCAGAAGAGACACTAGAACCAGAGGACGAGCAGGAAAGCCAGCAATAGCAGACGAGCGGGCAAACAGGAGAACACGGGGCAGCAGTGAATAATGGACAGACAAAGGGAGAGGCGAGGAACTGAGGACGCAAGTTGCAAATAGAACGGGCGCAGCGCAAGCGGGGCTGCAGAGCTGCAGAGCTGCATCAACAGGGACTGGTAGAAACGGATGGGACACGGAGTTTAACAGACGCTAAGCTCAGGACACGAACACATAAGGCTAACTGGGTAGCGTAGCATAAACGTAAGGTAAATGTAGCGTAGCATAAAGGTAAGGTAACGGTATGGTATGAACCAGCAAAGAGGCGGCGGAAGGCAGGGTGTATATATACCTGACAGGACCGGGAAACAACGAGCAGCAGGTGGGAGAAATGATGGCTGATTGCAGTTATCCATGTCTACACTTTGGGCCAGTATTGGACAAAATCGTTTCCACACATTTTGCTTTCACTACATTAGCTTTACTTTAAATTTTAACAAAAATTCTATTTGGAGTTGATGGACAATTAAGATGGTTTAGATATTCCTTGAAAACCATGACCCTATTTCTGTGATGTTTAAAGGGGCTGTTCTGGAACAGCTGTTTGAATGTCTTTAGCCTATTCACCTGCTGGGCATTTGCTAACAGTCACTGTTACAGTTTGCCCTGAAGGCGTTGGATGGACCTGAGGTCAGGCTCTGTGCAGGCCAGTCAAGGTCTTCCACCAAACTCTTTATGGGCCTGGCTTTGTGCTGTCATGTAGCTGATAACACTTGAGTGTACTCTTGACTACATGTTACACTGAGTGGCTGTTGATGGGGTTACACAGGCACAGAGAGACGCTGTAAATGTCTATGTTGTGTACACTTGCAGGTATGTGGGCTGTTAAAAGTGTTTTACTTTGTTTTTACAGAAAGACTGTTTTTGGTATTAATTTGATGAAAACTGTTATCTTTTTGTAATATTAGTGTCATTATGCTCTCTTTTTTGTACTTTTTCCTTAAAGTTACAGAGAACATTTACTGTGGAGAGACCCTGTGAATGCCTGGTTTCTCTCCAAGGCAGGGAGACTGTGGTGTTGCCATTACTGGTTCTTTGCAACAAAATGCTGGAATCCTAGTGTGGTCCTTGCCAACCACTATGCATAACACATTTAGTACCAAAAAACAGGGGAGGGTGCTCCCCAAACTTGCAACAATTGCCGGAAATATCATTATACTATAGCATTAAAATAT